AGCTAGTCATCATCACCCAACCTCTTGGCTACTCTTTCACCAATGAATAGTGGGATTGACCGTCACATTATAACGCCCCCACGGCTGAAAGGTTGAGCATGTTTGGTGGGACGGGGATTCGAACCCGCGACCCTCAGATTGCGAGTCGAGCGCCCTAGCCACCTGGCCATGCCGGGCCACTTAGAACATTGTAGAGGCTTTCCATAGTTTTACTTCATACAACTATTTTTTGCCACAAATTGGTAAACCTATAGACAGCATTCAAATATGACTTTTATAGTTTTCTGACAGTAGTTAATTTTATAAAGGAGGAGTGCCTATAATGTAAGAGGAATTTGGTTCCAGAATTTTATGAGAACAATAAAGTGCTTTGAAATCGTAATAGAAAATTAGTTAACTCTATTTGACCCGATGGGAAGCTCTATGGGATTGAGAGTACACACTTGCATATCAAATTTCACAATTTAAGTAAAAAAATTGTAATTTAATTGTAATTTCAATTCTATTTCAACAATTTTTTAATCAAAAATATCTATGAAAAAAACATAACTTGTACTCATATCCTAGGCCTATGGTTGTGATGTTTCAACCAGCATGTCCACAGATAGTAAATCTTTTTAACAACTATGGTGAGTCAGTGATCACTTCTAAGCCTTTCTGTATGAAGAAAGGAGAATTCTTCCCTAAAGATGTTTCTGATAAAGAATGGAGTATCAGAAACCAAGGTATAAGAATAGACAGGGATGACTGTGCATCAGCAGTTATCAGTGTATGACTGTTTGATAGCAAATCTGTTCTTTTGGTTTATATTATCCATTAAAAAAAGAAAGAAAAGATTAGGCATCCACTGACCATGGTGTCCTTTATGAGGATGTATAATACTGTTAAAAAATCAAAAGTTTAGATACCTGCCAATGATAAATACCTCTCTGGAAAAAAAAAAGCTGGAAGCATTACAAGTGAACATTTACACAGCTTGGTTAGTTACACAAGCAGAAAGATTAAAACTTTTTGTCAATAAATATGATACTACTGGTTAAAAATGAATTTATATTATGAAATTACAACAAACAGGTGAGATACAGATATGTGATTTGTGCTAATGATTCAATTTCCAATAATTTAAATACAAAAAATGATATTCTAACATACTAGGAAGAAAAAATTCAAACCTTTCCATGTTTTTCCTGTCCCCTTTCTGAGCCTCAAGAGTAGCTTTACGGGTGCGAACACTTGTAACAGTTGCAACAACAGAAGATTGGAGAGAAGGCTGCAAGGAATGACATACAAATTCAAAACCAAAACTGCAAGGCTCTGTAAGGTATCATCCACTTAATTGTTTAACACAAGATAAAAATGCTAAACATTTTAACATACACAATTTTCTCAAATACTTTGTAGTGAGTGTTAAGATTTTAAGAAAGATTGCAACCAGGCTCAGAATAAGGATGTGTTAACTCTATCTACTGCAAGAATTTTAATACATCTCTCTCTCTTCTAAAACATAAGACAGCAGCTCAAAATGTAAATATTCTGATTGAGCTTAAGTAATTTTGAAATTAAATATTAAGGAAAAAGTATTCACAACTACTTTAATTATGTACAAGATTTTTGTAATTTTTCAAACAAACTCTTCTGCAGACTAATATGCAACTTATTACAGGCATAAGAAAGTGGAATATTGTACATTAATAATATAAAAAAAACATTCTCATAATTACAAAATACAAGTGGCTAAAAACAATGTATTTTAATTCTGACAGTCTTAAACAAATGGTTATTTTTTTCTACCTTGTCCACAAATTGTTATGTATAAAAGAGTAATAACTTTGTATTTACTATAATATATGATCCTTTTGCTATGCAGGATCTCATAAAATCATCAAAACTGACACTCGAGGTTGAAAGAAGACTAACCAACTTTCACATTACCATCCAAGATCCTTTCAAGAGTTGTATCTTTAGTTACTTTCTTTAAGATTAGTTAATTTGAGTGTTTTCAATCAAGATTTTAAAAATTAAAGTAAAAATAAACATTAAATGATTATGTATATTAAATATCCTCTACATATATGTGACAATTCTCTTTTTTTTTTAAAAAGTTAAACAGTGTGTGCTTTAATCTCCATAACTAGTAAATAATATTGAGACAAACATAGGGTGTTTTAATCTCCATAACTAGTAAATAATACTGAAACAAACAGAGGATGTTTTAATCTCTATAACTAGTAAATACTGAGAAGACAAACAGTGTGTGCTTTGATCTCTATAACTAGTAAATATTGATAAGACAAACAGTGTGTGCTTTAATCTCCATAACTAGTAAATAATACTGCAAGAAACAGAGGGTGCTTAAAATCAATAGGTAGAGAAACTTGGAAACAATTACATAAAATAACAGTTTTCATAAATACACACCCAGCAACAGCATTTTAAGCTTGTTTTTGTTGCATATGTATTTGACTTTTTGACATAATGTAGGGTTGTAGCTACGGTGGCAGGGATGCCCAGGACTCATTCTACCCACCCAGCACTCCCATGTAATGTGACTACTGCCACCAGGCACTAAGTACCACTAAGAGAAGAACATGAATCTATGGGCTAGACTGGTTTTTACCACCCACCACTCAAATCACCAAAGCTACAAACTTAACATAATGTGTCACCCTCTTATTGGTGGAGGACTTTTGCTGCATAATAGCAATTCATGAGAAATCTTGTGAAATTAAGTGGGAGTTACCTAAAAGCTAATGGCAGACATATGGGAAAGAGAGCTTAACTGTATGAAGTGGTGTGTATCACTGAGGAAAGTATACGTAGCTATATCATATGCTCAAAATTAAACATATAATACAACACAAATTAACTTCTGTTCTCTTTACACTGAGGTAAAGAAATCAAATTAATAATGTACAATATCATATTTAGTAAATGGCCAATGAAGATCGGGGACCAAAAAAGTTATCTCAATTAAAACATCTTAATTAAACCTATAAATTCAGTGCCTGAGGCAAGACACAAAGATTGCAGCATTTAATATTTCTTAAATAAAATAACTATATTTCAACTTCAGTTTAGCTAACACAGAATAAATTATTAGTTTTTGTTTGAAATCTCCTTTACTCATCACATAGAATCTACATTCATAGATATTTGAAGAATGGGTATATGGAATATTAATGCTGAAAGGTTTGATCTTACATACTGTTAAGTGAATAAAAAAGCATTTTTTTCATCAAAAATAAATAAATTCTTTTAATAGTTTATCAGTTGCATTCATTTATCACAACCATCACCTTTGTTGTAGGTTCATCTTCTTCTCCACTACCTTCATCCTGCAGATCTTGTTTCTGGGTTCCTAATTCCCGTGGTGCTGTGCTGGAGTTGTTCTGATGATCTTGAGTTCTTGAAATGTCCCTGGAATCTTCTTTATGGCTCCCCAATCTAAAAATAAAAATATATGGTTTTTATTACTCAATTGAATACTGTTTTTACAGTTCTTTAAATGCAAGTAGTTGAATTTGTTAATGATGCCCATTTACTGCTATATACAGATGAATGAAAGAGGTCTTTCTTAATTCTATACAAATCAATAAATTTTACCTCATAATCTGGTTTGCCAAAACTTGTCTGGGATAGAATACAAAAAAAAATCATAACATAAAAATTTAATTTATTTGTTTATATTATGTTTTAACCAAATTTTTTAAAAATAACTACCAAATTGTTTAACAGACACTGATTTGATTACTTTTCAAAAATCAAACACATTAAAACTTCCTAAAAATATTCCATTTATTGATCTAGTTGAAACTGAAGGGCTTTCCTGATATAACATTTCATAAAACAGAAGAAAATATATTAAAATGTTTTTACCTTCTGAAGGCACTGCTAATAATTCTTTTCTTAGATGGAGGCCCATCTTCAAATCGAGAATCTCGTTTCCTAAGACAATGAAGTTTAATATTTATATAAATATGTGTAAGATTAAACACATCTAATGAGGATATACAAAATAAAACTAATATTTAGAGAAATAATACCAGTTATTAAAGTAACTTGTGAGGATTTGTATCACACACTACCAAAATCATTATTTTTCATTTTTGAATAGTTTTTTCATGATGTACATCAGTAAGATAACTAAAGAAGTATTCACAACATAAACTTATTTCTTTTTATGTAAATATTTTCAAATTCCAACAAAGGGAAAGAACTATAAGAAATCTAGCATTCAAAAAATCATTTCAGTAGCCAAATCATTGTTGAAATGTATTTTCTTCCTTTAAAATGTACATAAAAAAATAGAAAATCACGATGAAAGTAAAACTAACATATTACCATAATTACACTAAATAGTAAGTTGGATTAGTGAAAATGGCCAGTTTATCAGTATCATTATCACCATCTGAGCCATGAACAAGATTGCATACTGGTGGAAAAATGGAGTTTTTTCCAGTCTTTTACAACAATTTTTCATAATTTTAAACACAAATTCCAAGTGGTAACTGCAATTTTTTATACTTCCAATAAAATAAACTTTATTATCATTCAAATTAACATTTAAATGTTACAATTTTGTGTGACAAAACTTGAATAAGTATTTATTATTATAATATAACATAAGTACTTTATCAAAACAAATAAGGAAAGGTGCCTATAAGGTTGGAATTTGGTGAAAAACAAACTTCTTTGAAATGGGAATACTAGTGTGCTGGTTTAATAATACAGTGAATAAAATATAGATGCTGGTACAACTGTATATCTAACTGAAGGTCAAACTTATCCTGTTTCATACACCACCACAATTTTGGTTTACCTTTTGCTGTTTGATACAAAAATCTACCATTATTGCATTCAAGAACTAAAATAATTTTTTGTATGCTTACAGTATCTATTATTTGTTTTATAGCAAAAAATCAGCATGGTACTGACAGCGACGTATAAACATTCTTATTTTGAAAATAGTGATTAGAATGGATAATTATTTTAAAGATATGTCCAAAATGGTAAAAATGTAACTGTTGAGGTTTCCATATTAGGTTCAAACACGTAGGAGATCACACTTGTATTGTGTCTGTGTGCCACTCTGTAATGTCTCCAGACCTATGTCCATCTGGGATGTGGCATATGGTGACATACTTACAGATAGGATGTTGAAACTTGCTTCTCTCCCAGATAAACTACAGCAGATTACTAAGGAATAGGAATGAGTGACTAAGAGAACTTGACGTAAGATGGATGACAAATCTGTGGAAAACTTCTACATCTGACAGTTAATGAGCTTTGCATCATCTGCATCAGTGTACCACATACATTGTAGAACACCTTAAGTTCTTTAGGTATCTGGTGATCTTAAAATAAATACTCAAATTTACTGAAATAATTACTCTGATGCCCTGGATAACAAAATTTCTCTGAGGAAATGGTTCTGCCATTATACTTTGCTTGTTTGAAAAAGTTTTTATTCTTTGTTTTCACATTGTTCATTCTATTGTTAGAAATACACTATGGAGCCATACAATTTCCTGAAAATTCTGTACTGCAAAAGTTTAGTGCATACACACAAACACTTTAAAAAAACATTCACCCCTAAACCTCAAATCAAAAATATAACAAATATATCTATCTCTTTAATTCACAAAACCCCTGTTCTACACACACACACTAATAAATGCATTCACATTAATTTAATGAAATTGTTACATTGCTTTTGTCTATAGTTAAGAGCCATGAAAATCTGAATGACACCTCTACATACAACTCTAATTTGATCCTTGGCATAGAGTAAATACAAATAATTTGCATTTATTATAATACGAGTATATATTAATCATCATCTCCAATTGGTCATATTAAATCTCAACTGAAAAAAAAAGTGGGAATAACCATCACAATACTACAAAGCTATGAAGTTAGGATATTAACCAAGTTTCCATCACACTTGAGGTTGACTTTAAATGAGATTGCCAATAACATTTGTTATTTATGTGCCAAGTTGAAGATTCACACGAAACCCTGGTTGCATATACAACTTTTCAAAATCACATCAGTTATACAACATATTTACAACCATTGTTAGTCTCTCTAAAGTTTGCCAAAGATCATAAAGATACATGCAGCAGAGTTATAGCATGTATAGTTTCACAGTTCTAAAAATAGCCAGACTGACCAACTTTGTTCTTATACAGTTAAGGAATGAACTGAAGAAAATGGGTTTCTTTATGCAGCTTGGAGTAAAGTAATGGTAAAAAGTAGCTTAGATGAGCAAAATGGAATCACATTGTACCTTGGAGATAAGATGAAATGACAAGAATAAGTGATTAAGAGATGGTTTTTGATTTTTCTATATATCTATTTTTTTAAAAACAGCAGCTATCATCATAGTGACAACTGAACTGGAAGTCTGCCAATTCCAAAGGATATAAATCCCTAAATGGACTTCTGAACAAGGCTAAATCTTAATTTCAGATGACACTACATTATAACGTTTAATACATACTGCAGCTGGGACGTAAATTTCCCAGTGCCCCCCCCCTCCCCCATACTGGAACTGGGACAAATGTTTCCCATTGTTGATGCTGTTTATGTCTTTCTCTGATGGGTCCAGGTTCATCATCTTGAATATCACCACTGGATGGAGAGCGAGAATCCTCTGCTCTCATTGGCTCTTCATCATCACGCATTTGAACACCACTTGACTCACTTTCACTATCAGAGTCAAGCACATCAAGCATACTTACATAGTAATTAGAGTTACTATTCGCCACTCTAGTGATGTGGGCAAGGTCAGCATACAGTTGTTGTACATTCTGCTTAGGCATCTTGTTGGTTACTGAAGGACCGAGTGGAAAACACTGAGGGAAACCATATATCAACATTAGGTGGGATGCCAATAAATACTTTCCAACTCATTTTACTCCCATACATCAGGAACAGCAATTTTGAATGACAATGGGAAACATTTGTCCCCGTTGAAATATGAGGAGTAGAAGCAGTGGGAAATGGTTAACATATTTAGTATATCTTCATGAAAATTTTCGAGCTTTTAGTAAACATTACAAGTTTTTGTAGACAAAAAAAAATCAGAATTCTTTATTAAGTATTTTTGCAAAAAATTGGTATATTAATATATGGAGTCGATGCTGACTGTTCTGAGTGCAAAGTGAACTTCAATTTAAGATTAAGAATACTTTAATTGATCTGAAAATTATCAAATTTCATTTCCATAATTTATAAAGCCTCTAAAAATAATTATAAAATGTTTTTTCATCAAAACTGTATTTTATCTGTTATTTTCAAACCCTATTTCTATACACATTCGGTCAACTTGACCAATCTCGTAACTACCATACAAAAATGCAAAATAAAATTAGTAGTACTGTTCTATTCTTTTTTTGTATTGACCACGAAGTTCCAAAATACTTCTCCTGACAGCTTTTACTTCTAACTTTTTTATAGTTAGTTCCTATGTCAGCAGCTGAAGTAGAAATCCACTAAACATAAAACAATGAATCACTACCTCTGCCATTAGACTGCTTACATGACACTGTAATACAACATTATCAATAGCAAACAAACATGTGCTGCATAATAAGCTGACAATTCCACAGAGTTTATTGTAATTCCAGCTCCAAGAACAAAGTGGGAGAGGATTTATTGTCTTGTTTACCATTCAGTGTTTGCAGTGAGAATTGTCCGAAGTAATACAAGTGTGAGAAAATGTTTATGTTACACCTTTGTACAAAGTCAGGCCAATCCAATAATGTCAGATATCCTCCTGGGAAGATTGGAATTTAGCAGTATAGATGTACAAAGACCTTAAGTGAACATATATATATATTACTATTTACTAATACATGCTTAATTTTTTTCTTAAATCGTACAATAATGTATAAAAATATATAAAAAACAATGATTTCTAGTAACTGAAATGTTACAAAATTGATTTGTACTCTTGTATCATACTTGCTAAGCCTTGCTGTAAGCTTTGTTTATTTTCTCAAGAGAAGAGGAAAGACACTAATTTTTGTAGATTTCAAAGATGTATTTTAGAAATTCAAAACATTATTAAATTACTATACTGGTACATATAAAACCACTGTAATTTAGTTGGCTTTCTAACTAAACTATATGTGGGTTAAAAAAAAGCATTTCTAACTGATACATCAGGTGGAAAATGAAGTTTTATAATGAATATTAAAAACACAGTAATACGAAAAAACATCTTTAATTACAGACATTGCAAAATTTATTCAAATTCCATCATCAGCATTAAAACCTCTAAAAAGTTAGTCTACAATATTCTACTACAAAAAACAACATTAGCTCAATAGCAATTAACAATGGCCAACAGCAACAAATACACATGCCACAAATCCCATAGCCTTTGAAGGCATGGTGCAAATGACATTTTCTAGTGTTCAATCCACTTCAATTTTTAAAAAACTCACTTATTTTTGATAAAGTTTTCATAAAAAAGGAACTCAGAATTGGTTTCATAACTCTGAAATATTGAAATAAGTTTCACATTTAAATTTCTTGTAATGTTGGATAACGAAGAATGAGAAATAACGCATTCCAAAAAAATAAGTGTAGTATTACTATTAGAATGCTTGTTTATTATTTTATAGATTTTGTTCATTTTTACTTGTTAATAAAGGCAAGCTCAGTGATAAATACTGATAATGTAACTTATTTGTTTTTTTTTTCCCATAGTCCTTGCGGACCGTCGAGCCGATGGCAGATCTTGCTCTGCCAGCGTCTCTAAAGCTGTTTCTTACGTCAAGGATGCAACCCACTTGACAGCCTTCCCTCTTGGAAAGGACGAGCATGTTTGGTGGGAGTGGGATTCGAACCCACGACCCTCAGATTGCGAGTCGAGTGCCTTATCCATCAAGCCATGTAACTATCAATAAAAATACAACTTATAAAATGTGACAATGGAAATGAATTTTATGCTATATTACTCTGATCGCTAAGATTACATTTTAAAATTTCATTATACAAAATAATACTGCATTTACAAATTTAATGGTAAAGTGACTGAATGATCTGTAGCTTGCTCAGCATATTTAATATTAGTTTACTCATATTACTGTGCTACTGCTACTAATGTTGAGCAAGCTAAAATTCAAAAATTACTCAACACTTTACCATTAAATTAATAGTGTAGTATAGTGAATGGAAGTCTAGAGTAGTATTTGTTAAGCACGTATATTTGCTAGAAGTTAAGAAACAAAATTAAAAGTTGAAGTTTAAAGTACACATAGAATAACGTCATAATTTAGTTAATCATAATGATTAATTATATAATATTTATATACGTACTACTAGTAGAATAACAATATAGTTCAACGTTATTCAGATTCTGGTTAAAATAGTTTCTACTGCATACCGAAATTCTGTAGGAGGTTCTCTCCCAGTTATTTTTCGAATGTCTTCTTCTACATTTTCTAATCTCTTTTTAGCTTCATCATACGCAAACTGAATTGCTGCAAGTACTCCAACCTCCGCAGCCATTTTAGAAGCACACTAGTCTTCTTTCAAAAGCACCACCAGAGCGTTACCCGGCGTGTGCGCTTTTAATTTATTATAATATAATATAACTTATATTTTAAAAATTATATTAAATTCTAACTTTATGCTCATTTGTCAGCTGATACATTCTAGGATATTGTCAAAAGTATTTTCCGTGGTCTTAAAGTTTTAATTAATAATACTCCGAATAAGTTATAGAGTCATGCGGTCACTGTCTTTGTTTTGCGTCATGTTAACAATTGAATTTGGTTTAGTTTGCTTGATGTTAAGCTAAAAACCAACACAAGGGCTTTCTGTGCTTTGCCCACCACGGGTATAGAAACCCGATTTTTAAAGTCGTAAGCCTACTTAAAAAAAACAAAAACAAAGAATTTCGATTGAAAAAAACAACAACAGAAAAACGACAGTACCAGTGTTATTATATTGCATAAGTTAAAAAATTTTGATTACAACTCTTTGTTTATTTCATATTTCATTTTACTTTAACAAACTAATTTATATTTACATTTTTATTTAGATTAATATTAATTAATTAATACCACTAATTAATCATTAAAATGAGAATGAGACTAGTCATTTTTGCCGCTATTTACAAAGCAATGTTGCACTCCGAATCGCCCACTGACCTGCGTCTGGTCTCACTAGCATATGGCTTGGCATGGCTTGATAGTTAGGTTGCTCGATTCGCAATCCCACTCTAAATTAAGAATGGATATTGCAAAAAGTCTTCGAATAGCTTCGCGCGAAATCCAACAAACAAACACTAACATATAACTTTTAAAGTTCACAGATCATCCCTCGGTGACTCATCGAAACATCTGAGAGTTTATAACGCTACAAACCATATTCAATATTCGCTGTGGGTACAGCACAGATAGCTCACTGTGTAGCTTTATGCTTACTAACATAAACAAAAAGGTTCACAGATCATCCCATGATAAATTACAGACCCTGGTATTCATGAAATAGATTGTTTAATTGGAGATTGTTCTTCATTCTACTATTCGGGTACAGTTATCAATGTAACCACAAGTTATATGAGAAGTTTAAAAACGCAGTTTTAAAATAAAATTTCATATAGTTGTCAAAAGACTGCAAATAATTAATAGTTCGGCGGGTTCGATTGGCAAGATAAGCTGAAAAAGATTAAATGAGGCCCTCCCAGTGGCTCAGCGGTAAGTCTGAAGACTTATAACACTACAAACCGAGTTTTGATACTCGTGATGGGCACAGCACATTGTGCTTAATAGAAACAAACAAACAAGATTAAATGAAATTTATAATATAAAACAAAATGTTATTTACCATACACTTAATATCACGTCGCGCAAAGTCGAATAAACTTCAGGTAATCCATTAGTGAAGCGTTAATCAGGAATAACAGGGTCACAAAAATGATAAAAATATGTTTGAGGAATGCTTCAGAACATTCTTTTGCTACAGGATTAATTTTACAAAGTATTAAGGTAATTGTAACGTATTTGCTATTATATATTTGTTTTAATATCAACGTTTGTTTAGATTAAATTTATATTTAGAAACATACATTGTTTATACTGTTAAATATGTATTGCGAAACTAACGCCCA